GCTTATGGCGCCGTGAACCTCTAAAGGGGACTACCCGTATCACTTTGGTGGTCAGAGTAACGTTTTACCAAATCCGGCTTCAAAACACCTAGGATCCATAAACAGTATATTTCACTAGCCCAATAAGGCACACGGACTTCTACATATAATCAACACCTCACCCGCCTGTCTGTTTGTCTGTCTGTTCTGGGCAGCCGAAACGGCACAATCGTTTTTCATCAAACTTGGTGGAAAAATCGCAAAAAAATCGTAGAGTAGAACAAACCGGGTCCCATGTCGATGGTTTCTTTAGGAAGGCATTAATTAACCATTTTATTTACGATGGAAAACGATGCAAGTCTAAGGACTTGGCGCACCCTAATTAACCATGCAAGTCTACGGACTTGCCTCACCCTCAATTGCTGTACGCTGTCAGCCGGATACAATACAGTACAATACCATACAATACCATACAATTCTATACCATACAATACAATACACAACCAACTATAAATATTTGTAAGAATAAAACATAATTATATGGACATGTAAGACTCACAACTTGATAAGATATCCGTAAGACATTAGCTATTGGAAATGTGATTAAATGTTTTGTTATTAATCCAGTGTGAAATGTATCGGTATTGGTGGTACAATCCTAATGGTCTCTAATTCTGTTGATTAGGTGAGGTTATTCTGGGTTTATTGAGATTAAAGATAAGGTGTGGGGTTTATTCTACATGTGTTAGTCTCAAGTACGACCCTTATTGTAACAATCACGACCATGATTATAACAACCAGGGCCATGATTATAACAACCAGGACCATGATTATAACAACCACGACCATGATTATAACAACCACGACCATGATTATAACAAGCACGACCATGATTATAATAACCACGACCATGATTATAACCACGACCATGATTATAACAACCAGGACCATGATTATAACAACCACAACCATGATTATAACAACTACAACCATGATTATAACAACCACGACCATGATTATAACAACCAGGACCATGATTATAACAACCACAACCATGATTATAACAACTACAACCATGATTATAACAACCACGACCATTTGGAAAACGATGTCGCTGTACGCTGTCAGCCGGACGGCGGTTGCGCGCTAGCCAAGCATGAGTGTTCGAACTTTCAAGCCTCGGTAAACTGTACCACCGGACTCGCCACCTTGCACGATGGGCCCACGATCACTTGTATATATATATACTGTATATAGTTATGCCATAGCTTACCAACTTGAATTACGTTAAAGATGAATATAATAATGAGGGCACATATGGCACAACAAAATGACAAATTGGCAACTCAACATAACTTAGTCCATAATATTTACCACTTAAAATTATTGTTACTTCAATACACGACAAACAATGTTAAATGCAAAAGTTACAAACACAAATAAGGACGAAATTGTGCGTCATGGGTTCAATCACAGCCCTCTTACTTTATCACAACAGTTCAGGAGTGAAGGTTTGAATTATACACGTCACGAAAAATTAAAATAAAATTTAATAACAAAAGTTTACCATGATAAGTGTGCAGGTTACATAATGAACGGATAAATTAAATCAAGAGAATAAAAAATACAATAAACATGATCCTTAATAAACAACTAATAAGCGCACAACAAATATACCATAAACTATTGATTGCACTTTACATACAATAAATAATAATAGAGCAGCACTGAACATATGATACTCAACTAAATCATATTTGAGAAGGTATCCACCACTGACAAACTCAATTATAGCAGATCTAGTGGGGAAATTTCTTGAATCAATTATAGCAGATAGCATCCGACCGCATCTAGAGAAAAGCAAATTAATCTACGACTCGCAACATGGGTTTACAAAGGGAAAATCTTGTCTAACAAATCTGCTGACGTTTTTTAGGAAAGTCTTCGAGGTAGTAGATAATGACGAAAATTACGATGTTATTTACTTAGACTTTAGCAAAGCATTTGACAGAGTACCGCATCAGAGGCTTCTGAGAAAAATTAAGGCTCATGGTATCGAGGGGAAAGTTTTAAATTGGATAAAATCATGGCTCACCGATAGAACGCAGAGGGTCAGCGTAGATGGGGTTAAATCTGAGTGGGGCCATGTAACCAGTGGGGTTCCCCAGGGGTCAGTACTAGGCCCACGATCTACTGTAGATACTGGGTTCAGCAGTGACATAAGCAAGTTTCCGGATGACACCAAAATAGGGCGGCAGATTAATTCAGGGCAGGATGCAAATGCATTACAGGAGGATCTAAATAAACTGCAAGGGTGGTCTGAAAAATGGCAAATGAAATTCAACACCAGCAAGTGCAGCGTACTTAATATTGGAAGAACAAATACTGATAATGTATACAGCCTTAACAACATAAACCTAGAGAAGTCGACTTGTGAAAGAGACCTAGGGGTACTTGTATGCCCGGACCTTCGGCCTAGAAAACAGTGCGTTAATGTTCGAAATAAGGCAAACAGAGTATTGGGTTTTATATCTAGAAGTGTAAGTAATAAGAGTGCAGAGGTCTTATTGCAACTATATCTTGCGCTAGTCAGGCCGCCCCTCGATTATGCGGTTCAGTTCTGGTGCCCTTATTATAGAATGGATATCAATTTACTAGAGTCGGTGCAGCGAAGAATGACGAAAATGATTCCGGGACTTAGAAACCTTCCCTATCAGGATAGGTTAAAGAAACTTAACTTGCATTCCCTAGAAAGACGAAGAGTGCGGGGAGATATGATAGAAGTATTTAAGTGGGTGAAAGGAATCAATAAAGGGGATATAGATAAAGTTCTTATAATATCCAAGCAGGATAGGACTCGGAGCAACGGATTTAAGTTGGATAAGTTTAGGTTTAGGAGGGAGATAGGAAGAAACTGGTCACAAATAGGGTGGTGGACGAGTGGAACAAGCTTAGCAACTTTGTAGTAAGTGCTGGAACTCTGGAAAGTTTCAAAAGGAGGCTAGATAGATTCATGGATGATAGAGAGTGGTAGTAACTCTCGACAGGAGCTGCCATGCACAGGCCAACCGGCCTATTGCAGACTCCTTATTTTCTTATGTTCTTATGTTCTTATGTTCCAACGCCAGACAGTGACTGACAAAACCCCATATCCCGGGGACAACAAGCCTAACAGCACTAATATTAAACAACTCCCACATTAAGATGCAAAAATAGTTAAACATACATACATACATACAGGAAAATTTTTAGGTATCTAGTACCAGCCCTGCTCACACATAATTATACAAAATATTTTACATACATAAGTTGAGGGTAACGAGCATAAAAATATTTCACTATGCACAACGAAACGCACCACTGTGCATTACGCCATGTATAACAATATACATATCCGAATCTCAGGTGTATCACTGAAATTGAAGTGGGTTGTCAACTCTTCCAAAGGTATAATTTTGCTATCTAATGATAGTAAACAACGCTTAAGAGAAACAGAGCAGATTTTTCCATATACAAATTAATTTCCATTAAGTTATAACAATGAAAGTTAAAAGTTATGTCTATTCGGCAAAAAAGTAGTTGTTTTTTAAGTCATAATCGACAATTATCTCTATCTAACGTAACACACACACACACACACACACACACACACACACACAGATGATTGTTCAATTAAGTTTTAGGCACAACTAACGTTTGAGCCAAACAGGGATAACTTTTTTTTTCGTTGTTATAGCTTAATGGAAATTCGTTCATATTTGGTTAGATAAAAAAAATTATGTTCACCTGTATTACGCAGCAGACTCTAAGCCTGAAAACCATCTTAAACCCCTGAAGAGAAAATAATACAACTATCTAACGTACAATGAAAAATTAATATCAAAGGAAAAACCCACATTCCATGTACGATAAAATCCATAAGAGCAATGCCAGGTTAAACTTACTGGATCTGTAACATAAAGTCAAAGTTCAAGTTATCCTTTACTCTCATGTTTTACTCAGTTCTGTTATATTTTATTTAGTGATGGATCTCATAGCTAGTCATATGTGCTGCCGCTGCTGCTGCTGCTGCTGCTGCAGCTGCTGCAGCTGCTGTTGCTGTAGTCGTCTACGACAAAATTAAAAACTCAGATATTGTTTTCCAGCACACCTGTCTGGTGGTTGGTGCTAATACAGCAGGTGTTTGTCATTTACCTGTAACAAGTGAAGAGTACAAGTAGCGGGGGAAGAAAACGCCAAAACTAGGGGCAACATCTTATGTATCACTATATATATGTCTTAAACTCCTTAAACCAAATTGGTAGCATTATAATACTAACTGTGGAGTCCGTATGTGTTTGACAAGGAAGTAGTCTCCTTTTGTGGGGTGATGGAGATATAACGTTAGAAGCCATCCAGCCATGAATTAAATGAATTAATGTCGCAATATGTGGTCCCGTAAAAATTTCATGTTAATTTTGGGCACCATACAGTACATCATTTTAAACCTTGGAACCTGTTGATTAAGAAAATATATGTTGCAATTTTTTCTGATGTGATTTAAGGTCGTATTTGTCCAGAGAAGTAAGAGAGGAAAAAAAATGCTTGAGAGGCATGACGCACTGTGTGTCTAAGTCTAAGGTGATAAAAGATCAGATACTACCATTTGGGTTTTCAATTTAAGTTCATTACATGAATTATCAAAATCATAAATAACCCAGTCAGTTACTATAAGTATGCAGAGTAATATATACATAAAGTGTACTGTACATACGTGTATGTGTTAGATCCTGTGTTATGGATGGACTTTTAGTAATTGTTAACATACGGGTGAGTTATGCTTTGCTTCTGTTCAAATCAAGAAAAACCTCATTTGTGCTATCATCAAAGAACGGTATTCAGTCAAATGCTGAAGATATTGAACAGTTGAAAAGCAACCATGAGGAAGCAGATGCCCTGCTCATCATTCATGCCATATATGCATCAATAGAAAGGCAGCACTGTACATACCATGTCAGTAGACACTGATGTGTTTGTTCTAGGCATATCAACGCAGCCTCAGCTTGAAGAAAATGCAAGTGTGATAATAGGAACTTGTGAGCGACGACACATTGTTTCTTTCAAATTCATTTATGATGCTATTGGGCCACACATAGCAGAGAACCTTCCAGGTTTCCATACCTTCACAGGATCTGACTGCACAGGAAAATTTGCTAGCAAAGGAAAGAAAACATGTGGGAGCACTTTGATGAAATCTAACACAAAGGTCCTAAATGCATACAAGACGCTGAGTAGACCAAATGCCCCTCCTGCAGACATGTATATTTATTTAGAGGAATTTGTATGTAAGCTCTACTGTCCACGAATGACTTTCACTGAACTGTCAAAACTTAGATGGCATCTCTTCAAGAAAACGCAAGTAGAGGCTGAAAAATGACCAAGGTATCAAGCCCTTCTGTGGTCTTGTGATGCAGACAGTGAAGTGTTTTCACCATTGGAGCATGGCTGGAAGATTGAAAATGACTGTTTCATGCCAGTCATATTAGACCTGCCACCAGCTCCAGAAGCTATCACAAAGCTTGTTAAGTGTGGATGTGGCGTCAACAAATGTGGATCATTGTCATGTTCATGCATAAAGAATAATATGGCATGCACCGAGATGTGTAACTGTCAAGCAGATGATGAAAAGGAATCTGTGTTTTACACAGAAGAATTTAATGGCGAGGACTGAAGCATTTTCTTAAATAATAGCTGTGACTTGTATATATAAGATGTATAATACTATAAACTAATATTAAATATAAAATAGATGTTCTAAGCTTTTCAGATAATGGTATTATGTATATGTTTAACTTCTAGTATTTGTTTTAAACAACCATTTTTACTAATTGCATTCTCTTCTTTGCCAGAGACAGATGGCGTATAATATATGGGCAGCCATGTTTGTAACACACTTAAGATATCATAACAGCATTCATAATATATTATGTTAAATTATGATCATATACAACTACATGTTCATATGTTATTAGTCACGTTTTAAGTTACTTAGAACTTAATGGTAATACGTTCAGAAAAAATTGACACCATAGTTTTTCTTAAGCTCCAGCTTATTAGGATTAATATGATGTATGGTGTCAAAAATTAGCATGACATTTTTACACTAAATGTTCTGCACCTTTATATTAGGCTTCACCCATGCTGATGCACTGGTCTCTTACCATCACGTCTTTAGTTTCGTAAAATCAGACTTATAATATAATAAGTGGAAATATTACTCATAGACCGGTAGTAATCTATAGCCTTTTATGTTTTATCCATATATATATATATATATATATATATATATATATATATATATATATATATATATATATATATATATATATATATATATACACAGTGTATTGTGCAGTGCCATGAAACATTACCAACACACTAATATCGTTTTTTCCCGGCAGGTCTCGGACGACTTGGGCTACGTGATCTACTCGGCACTGGGCAGTTTCTACATCCCGAGCTGCATCATGATCTTCGTGTACATCCGTATCTACTACGCCGCCAAGGCCCGGGCTCGAAGAGGCGTGCCCAAAAAGAAACCTGCCGCATCAGGAGCAGGCAGGCAAGTGGCAGGCAAACAACCTGCCAAAAAACAACTCAGCAATAAACCCATGAACAACCCTCCCAACACCACAACCACCAGTTTCTCCAAGCCACCAACACCCACCCCTGTCCTCTCCACCGATGACTCCAGAAACGGGGCCAACGAGCGGTCGGGGCTGCTCAACAAGAAAGTGCTCATTTGTGACGTGCGGGTCCACGAGGAGGTGTCGCCCTCTAGGTGTGCGACTCCCACCGACAACCTAGAGGATGACACACCCTTGCGGACTGTCAGCGAGCAAGTGGACGCCGACCACCGGAATCACAACACCAAGAGCGAGAACGGTTTATATATAGGCCCACTGGGCTCTGACAACCCGGATCTAACGATTGGGTTGCCAACACCTGCAGTGCCACCAACGCCCATGAGAGAGCCAAACGGTGGCAACATGGCCGTAAATGTGGCGTCCCCAGCCGGTTCCTTGCGGCGAGGAGTACCTGCTCCTGTGATGGACGGTGACCAGATGAGTGATATTGATCCATCATCATCGGATTCTGGAGTTGTCACTCGTTGTTCTGTGGTAAAACCCTTGAAACTACGTTTCTGCCACCCGCTCCTCGGTAAGAAGCTCACAAAACCCAAAAGGGAGCTCATCGACATGGGCCGAGTCTCCACGCCGAAGGCTCGAGACCCTGAGAAAGAGAAGAGGCGGCTGGCACGCAAAAAGGAGAAGAGAGCCACACTGATCCTGGGTCTCATTATGGGTTCCTTCATCGCCTGCTGGTTTCCCTTCTTCTTCATGTACATCCTGGGACCTCTCTGTCCGGCCTGCTACATCCCCGTATACGCCTTCGACCTGGCCTTTTGGCTCGGGTACATGAACTCAGCTTTCAATCCGGTCATCTACACTATCTTCAATAAAGACTTCAGGCGAGCATTTAGAAAGATTCTCTTCAAATAAGCGGTTTCACATTTTTTTTTATGAAATGACAATTCTGAAGTATTGCTCATTCATGTTAAACACAACTAATAACAACCTCTGCCTGACTGTGGTGACGTCATAGTGATATAAATACTATGTACATCAAGACACTAAACTTGATATAAACCCACACAGGCACACGATAAAAACATTTTAGATTTATATTATTTGTATGAGTAATAGAAATATCCTTGAATTTTTAATTCCTTGAATGAGAGCTGATTATTTTTACGTTTCCCATTAAATAACATGACGAAAAAGAAATTTTGTCGCCATGAAAACGGGAAGTGGACCAATGGGAGACTCCATGGGATCAATCACTGTGCTTTTAGACGAGTCCTGAGAGTAGGAGTGAGGAGGGGTACTGCCACCTTCCTGTGCAGGTACGAACCTCCTCTGCTGTAGACCAGCACCACGGCTGCACCAGCACTCCTGCCTCAGAATCACTACTACAAAACCCTTGTGTTACCCGTGAGTGCTATGGTTAGGTTGTACACAATACGCTTGAACACAGAAAAATGTTCTCTTCTATTGTTTTGATTAATAAGTGTTGTAAACTAATATAGCTTTTATGAACATGTAGCATACTGCCATTTTGTGCATGGCGAATTGCATATATATATATATATATATATATATATATATATATATATATATATATATATATACTTCATTTTAGTCCATATAACATATGACTTTGAACATATAATGGCGGAATTCGACCTAATATATATGTCATATATATATATATATATATATATATATATATATATATATATATATATGTGGTGTATATTATTCACTGTTAATATCTACTGATTCACGTAGGTGATAACGTTTAGTAAGTCGGAACATTTTGGACTACTTCTTTAAGCCCGAGTCCTTAGTGTCTTACCCTTAATAGTTCCATCAACGAAAGTGAGCCGCGTTGTGCTGGTATAAACACCAACAATAATATCGTTATTTCACAGTTATCATCGAATGTTAACTTGCTTGTAGCTCCCAGAGTTAGAGTAGAGGAAACTGCTACCTTTAGTAGAATTACCATGATGGCCTCGCTGAGACTCGCTGCGTGCCTGGTGGCAGACACTGCCAGTGACACTCAGCTGATGGTTATCGTGTTTACTCCGCTGGTGTTCCGTGCTCTTACCGAGGCACCAGCGCGAGTAGAGTTCATCATTGCAGTAGAATATGTGTTTAGTGCAGAGGGTAGTTACTGCAACGTAGTTGAAAGAGAATTACGAATAAATTTGTACATGTTTCTGTCTCATAATGTTATCTGTGCCAGTTGGAAACATAACTATTGTGGAGCAGTTCACGATCAAACTATTTTACATGTAAACAAAACAGTCGGAATTACTTAAAAACATAATGTTATTCTTTTTTTAATCATCTTGCCTTTTTAATCAATTAGTAAAAAAAATTGGGAAGAAAGAATTAGAGAATATGCAAGTGTATGTTTCAGCGATGCAACATTACTGGAATATCCCAATTATTTGTAGGTTAAACTGAATATGTCTTGCAGTCAAATGTGTTATAGATGCTAAGAGAAGCCCGCTCTACACATCCCCATAATTGTCCCATATCACAGTGATGTACCAACGTTACATCTTCTTGCATTTAAATCATATCAGACCGCATTTACCTTTTTAAAGAAATGCATTTCGTTTATAATTTTGCCATTTCATGACACCACATCAGGTAGTTATATTTTGGTGCTAGATTCTCGTGCCACGGCGTCATATATGTCATCACATTCATGTCACATCATTTGTTATAGTGTAACCACGTCTGTCTATCAGGTTGTGGAGTCGCCCTGTCATGTTCGTTATAAGAAAGTTGTAACAAGTTATTGTCAAGTAACATGTTTATCCGGGAGAGAGGTGTCGAGTCCTCATTGTTATCCTCATCACCCTCATCACCAGTCATTATCTTTATCAGTATCATGAATTTCATTATCACTCGTCACAGTCATTACCATAAGCATCACTATTAGTTTTTATCACTGTTAGTATCCTGTTAGATGTAATTATTTATTGTCATTTTCATCGTTATTAAGAAGTTACATTATTCCTTCTTTAGTTATAATTCCCAACGTTGGTTCCAGAGTGCTGCCAGACACACCACCTACACCTGGACCATTGTTGGCTTATATACCCCTGCCTCCGTCTCACGTCATCACCATCATTGCCATTGTTTACATTTGTACCATTAAAAGACATCAATGCTCCTCTCAGTACCTGGACCTCCCGTGAAAACATTCATTATCATCATTATCATCATCATCATCATCATCATCAATAATCATCATCAATATTTGTATACTAGGACTGCCAATAGCGTAATTTTCATTCGTATATATAACCATCGTTCATGCCTGTATATACATTAAAACTTCAATAAATATTATGTTATAGGTTCATCTGACAGTTGTAACTACACAAGAATCATTACGAAAACACAAATTAACTGTGTGTGCAAATTTAATACAAATACGAAAGTTACAGGAAATTCGCACACAGTATTTTGCTTCCCATGAGGATTATAATATTTTGCCTTCCCGGTAATACATCAATCTTAAACCCTTGGCCGTGTTTAGTAACTTTTATCAGTATACCTCTATCAGTATTCACAATTATATTATAAACTGTAAGACAATTTTTAGATAATTTAACCAGTTCGAGTTTTGTTGTTATTTCTTTCCATTACCATCACACGCTCACCAACACTCACCACCATCATACGCTCACCAACATTAGCATCATAGTTAGATCACGTTTACCCGTATTATTTAAAGCATCTAGCTAACTCCTTTGACTACAATAACCATTTTACTTGTGATTGTTAATGTTAGTACCACGAGCTGGGCGGAGTTTGGCCCACACCCCAGTGTCTAGGCGTGACCTCCTGGCCACCAACAGTCGTCCACACCGCCATTTATTGCCTTTATCTACCTTTTCCTCCCCCCTCTCTCTCTCTCTCTTTCTTGTTATACGAGTATATACGTGAGCCTATCTCCCATCACCTTTTCCCTCTTTGCGAATTGCTTGTTTCTACAACTGGCTGTAGTAGAATATCACGTAACGAATGTACATCTACTGGAACACAAATATTGGCATACAAGCATCATTCTCATATTCACAAATACACACACACAAACTTGGTGCCAGAGAGGACACACCGTGGCCTGTGTGACGCTGTGAGCCAGCACCGCCCCCTCCCGGCAGGAGGCCGTTACTGTTATACTGAGCCCAACCAGTGACAGCCTGATGCTGAAAGTGGCCTCTTCCTCTTCCTTCCCTTCCATTACTTTATCTTCCAACCCCATTTCCATTATATCGTGTGACTCTTCTTCCTCTTCCTCTCTTTGGACTTTTTCTTCTCCCACACGCCCCTCTCAGCAAGCCTCACTGAGGTCTTCCCTGTCTTTGGTACCTTGATATACTGTAGATCAATAGTAGTCAACCCACTATCTTGTCGGATTTTAGTACTGTGCTTTGTCAGTGTTCTTGGATGTTGAATATACATTAGGTAGTGTTAAAACGATAGGTTTTTAATAACAGTGCTTTTCAGAAACATTGTCATTATCCAGTGGTAAAACAGAAGAGCCATTATGCAAAAGACTAATATTAGGGTATTTTGTGTGTGTATGTGTGTGTGTGTAATTGATAGTAATTAAGAGCGACAGGCTGGGAAAAGTGAGGGAAGTTGGTACAGGTGTGAGTATCTCCCTAATGACCTGGGCAGGTATGCTGGTCCAAGTGCAAGTTTTTTTATTCTAACAACAGTATTTGAGGTCCTTCTTATAACAAAGGTTTTGCCTAGGTTTCTATGTAGTAAAGTTTTGTCTTCGGTATTTGTTTAACGAGGTCTTATTGATGTGTTTAGTAAGACTTTCTTAAGGTTCTCCCAAAATTTTACTTGCGTCTCTGTTGAAATTGTACTTGTATCTTTATGTCTGGTTAATGTATTATATTGAAGACTAAAAAGGAACACCTATAATTCTGTTAAATGAAGGTTTATTTACACACTCTGAGTTTGGTGTATGTTATTATCTGTGTATGTACGAGTGTGAACTTTACACTCTAACAAGACTGACAGCTGGGGACAGTGTCATTAACTTTTTTCAACAACGAAGAAAAATGCTAATATTTTCACCCTGTTTATGATGTCAATCAATACTTAACATGTATAACTTTAGTAGTGTTTCTCAGCGAATGTGCTGCTGTACATCATTTAAGTTATGGTCTAGTTAAATGCTCCTTATCAAGAGTGATCTTATGTTGACTCTGTTCTAATTAAAAGTAGTGTACTGAGAGTGTTGCCAGATATATTGTCAGTTGCCGTTTTATGATGACGCTGAGCCTGTCTTGCATAATGCGGACATATATAATAAAGTAACCCTATCTTTAAAACCTTACAGAAGTGAAACAATAGTCTGTTTGCACTCTCATACAGGATGTTTCAATAGATTTGAAGTAAAGACAAAATGGGGTAGTCTAGACCTACTTTTCATACATGTGGATGAGTGTAGTATAGAATGGCGTAATATACTGTTTTATTAAGCTAGTTGACTCATTAAGCGGCCAATTGTATGCTTCATTGTTTACTTCTCCTTTGTATGGTAAAGTCTTTTATTATTTAAGAATTTCTGTCAACATAAAGAATTGTAATTGTTATTTTTATTTTATATGTCAATAGTCAGACTATTTTTTTCTTTTTTGTAACGATGTAACATTTACAAACCCAAAACAAGTGACATATACATAAATTACAAAAACATTGACCTTACTTTACACAATTTACTTCTTAATGACTCCTTTGCACACCAGTACAATATAGATAGAGGTGATGATTGTCTTCATCTCAGGCGCTTGAGTCCTTTTTGTAGTATTATGGATTGACTTTGTTATTTGAGAACAATTTTAAAATCCTGTTAATGTACGTGTTATTGCAGATAATTAATACATAGTTTTTCAGTCTTTTGTGCAGAAGTGACATTTTAGATAATAGTAAAATACTGTCTTATAATGTTTTGAATGTTTTAAATTCGACTTCTTGTATATATATATATATATTATGTATTTATTGATAGTTTTGTCTCTCATATGCAAATATTTTTTTAACGTGTGACCACTCTAGGCTGTTTTCTTATGTAATGAGTAGTAACTGAGAGGGTTGAGAGGGGCAGGCGAGAGAAGAGGAGCGTGAGTAGAGAAAGTGATTTATATGAAAGAGGGTCGGGGGACATGTCAGTGCCCACCACACAAAGAAGGAGCAAAGTATCAGAATACACATCACACAAAGAAGGGGGAGACGTGTGTCAAACTGCCCACGACTCATAAGGCAAGTGAGGGCGGAGGGCAAGGTGTCCACCGTACAGATCAACCTGAGGTAAAACCCACTTCATTACACATATCCTTACTACAGGTTGACGCACACCACTGTTTCACATTAATATATATTGTTGAAGCTTCATTACTGAATAACAAGACAATATTTTCAGATTAACATTACTTTGTAACTTTCAGCACCAAATGGTGAAAAAAAAGATACTTCCGGTTATAATTTTGTATGCTAGATTATAAGGATATATATTTTAAGCCTGTATTTAG